TGGTGCTCACTGCAAGTAATTAGCTCTCAAATAAAAAGGAATCTTTATCCAAATTGCTGAGGGAAAATGCAATAATAATAAAGAAAGATGTTTAGATAAGTAAATATCAACAGGAAATGACCATTCAAAAAACTAACAGAACATGCAATCAGGTCAATGCTATTCATCACTGGGACACCACACAGCTTACATTTTCATTTTTGAGAGTTTGAACAGAGCTTTTCTTTACCATGACAATCAGGTCGATGCAGTATTTGCTGGGAAATAAGTGTAATAACACTAAAGTACTTTGACACCGCAATGCTGCTATTCTCGGTTTACTTGAAGCATGCAGGCATGACGTCCTCCACCTCATTAGAGAAAGCAACCTAAGGATGGACTGGTTCTGTCTGGAGGGTGCATACTCAAAAGAAGTATGCCTTATAGCTTAATGGAAGAAATCTTTTCTCTGTTTCAAGTACCAGATATAGTGCAGCGACTGGTAACAGTCTCTTAAAAAGCAACTTCTGTGAGATGTATAGTTGGTCAGAAAATTAAATGATGGCACAGGGTAGAAAAGGCAACTAGCTGTAAGAGGCTGTACATTACACCTATTGTCATTTTTTCAGGCAAGTAAGTTTGCTAGAAAAAAGAGCACACAAAGTATGTGATACACACAGAACTGTAAAAGTGAAGCAACGCTGGGAACATCCTACTAGTGCACAGATAAGAGAACAATAAATGCAGGCTCTATAATGGAGGTTAGATGGTATTAGCTACTAGGAAGCACTAATGGAGTGAACAAGAATGACGTTTAAATCATCAATATCCAGGTGCTTAGCATTACTTAGGAATAAAGCAATTAGGATTCAAAGGGAATAATTATCAGATTTAACAAAGGGGCCATTTAATGTTTGCCACCATGTCATTACTCCTGCTTAATGGTAGGGGAACACTAAGGAGTTAAAATGCATTGTGAGCATGGATTAGATAGTTAAGTGAAACAAGTCACAACAGTTATAATTAAAAAGCGGGTAATTGCCACAGTTACTGCACAATAATATTGAAGATGCTGTTGCTTGCCCCTACGCTTTCAACAGGAAGTAACAAGCAATTGTGTGTGGAGTCTGATGTAAATATATTAAATGATAAATACTGTAGATAGAAAATGCATGAATGATGCAATTAGTGTGAACTGCTGCCCCAGCTTTGTCATGGTTATTTGGGCTTGTCAGCTACTTAGGATTTTTCCAATTTCTTTCTGTTCTTAACCTCTTCAACCCCTACGCATCATCTTGTCTTCAGTCTGCTCACATTGATGAGGTCCAGAGCAGCCAAGATCTATTCTATTTTCCAGATATTCTTCAGAATTTAGTTGAAATGCACAGAATTCAGTTAAATATCCAGACAGGCTGTAACAAAATAGTGAAATCTGCCTATTTTATTGGAAGATAAGTGTGGAACTGAGGGTTTCCAAAACTAAATGAAGAAAACTTGATAATAATGCCCCATTTCCAGATATGTAAGATGTAGAATAGAAAATTCACTAATCAAGAAGAAACATTTTAATCCTGCTAACTCTTTTAAGTGACTATCAAAGAGAGGCTTCTCTTTCTCTTGAAGGAATCAGAGGGCTAAAAATATAAAAAGGAAATGACTACCAATGGGCCAAAAAGCAAGCAGAGAACAGAATTTAGTGCCCTAATAATAAGGAAAGTAATTGATGCTGAATCAAATTTTTCTCTTGATACGATTTCAAAAACCACTAAGTACATATTACCCAGTGATGTGTGCATTCTTGGAAAAAGCTGCTGTGAATCTTCAAGGCAGCCCAGGCTTAAGTGATGTGCAAAGAACCTATGGTAATGATGATGACATTAAAAGGTTCATAGAACCAGTATTAATAGCTAGAAGCAAGATGAAGCACTCTTTTTCTGCAAGGGATCATAGGCAAAAACACAAAGCTAAGAAGAAAAGATGTGAATTTTAAGAACAGCTGAAAACAGCAGGTGAACTCTTCTATCTACAGTCACCTAGAAAATAAGAAGGGGCTTGAAGAACAAAGATTAGCCAGAACTAAAATTCTGTATGAATTAGAATTCCAACAAATAACTCCATATTAGGAATTATGCCGAGCAAACATAACAGCAATTTTGAGGCATTACTCAGTATTTGATGCCCACAAGATGGTATAATTACATTATCTACAGAAATGTATCCCACAGGTGAGAGGATTCCTGGACTTATCATCCTAGAACCACACAATAATTCTGACATTAAAACCCACTTGTTTTAGAACAAAATAACTAATTTAAAATTAATGGATCCTTTCATTCAGAAATGAAGCTATCTTATTTTGACAAATCTAATAATCTTTGCAAATAAAAGTCTAGTTAGAGCACTACAGAAAGAAAAAAAATAAACTGCCATTTGAATACTTCCATCTTTTGTGATATAGCATTATTTTCAAGTGTCCCACTTCAAACCTTTTGTAAAAGCAAATATTACATTAAAAAACAGAATTTTGCACAATTTAGATGGGTTTTGTACCTTTTTGGAAACCCTTAAACAATACTGGGTGCAAGAACATGAATGTCAAATCCCTCATAAACTTGTATCAACCAGTGAAACTAATCAGACTAATTTCTCTGTCTGGCATGAGTAAATAGAAACACAAAAGAGAATTTTAGATGTGATGTTTACTATTACAGTTTCACTAGTTCCCTCTCTTAGCGAACAGCAAACATAGAATCATAGAATCACAGAATGGTTTGGGTTGGAAGGCACCTTAAAGATCATCTAGTACAAACTCCCCTGCCATGGGCAGGGACACCTCCCACTAGCCCAGGTTGCTCAAAGCCTCATCCAGCCTGGCCTTGAACACCTCCAGGGATGGGGCATCCACAGCTTCTCTGGACAACCTGTTCCAGTGCCTCACCACCCTCACAGTAAAAAATGTCTTCCTGATATTTAATCTAAATCCACCCTCTTTCAGTTTAAAGCCATTACCCCTTGTCCTGTCACTACACTCCCTGATGAAGAAACATATTCTTTAAAAGTCAGGTTCTTACTAAGGTTGACATTGTCCTTTAAACAAACATGTAGGATAGAGTGGATGGGCTTTGCCACAGGAAATACAGTTACCAAAGCTGTAAGCATTAGTGAAAACAGGTAAATATTTGAATATAAGGGATCCCAGTGAGACTCCTTCCAAAGTGCATTTTTGGGATTGAGTCCAAAACAGAAGAAATTACACACTTGCAGTGGAATTCACAAGAAGTAGACTTGAAGTATAGAATAGTGAGTCATCAGGGAGTTAGCTTCAGAAAATCCTTCATGCAAAGAATGGTGCTGAATAATTGTCCTGCTGGCTGAGAATATACGTGCAGTCAGAAGAACCGTAGCCAAATAAAAGCCTTCTTGGAAGCCTACTTCCAAAAAGATACTTCTTAGACAAATCTTACTATCAAAAATGGATGTGAACTATCAGCAAAAGCAGGGTAGACAAGAAAATAGAAATGGGTTAATTAGGTGCAGAAGATACTAGTGTTGAGCATATACTGGAGAACATCTGAGTATATTACTGTTTTTCTATAGTGAATGATCTAAATAATCTACTTTTTTTTCCTTTGCTATGACTGCTCCATTATGTATCATTAGGGAATGAAGATTTATGCATGCAAGTATTTGCCAGTCAACAAAAGGGGGATGTAGGGGCTATTTAGTATACGGCAGAAGAAAAAGTTAACAAGAAGATTCTGCTAGCTAGTTTACACAGTGGGCTTTGCCCACAATGGGCTAATTAACCTTAAGAAGATGCAAGATGAAAGGGGGTAAAAATCCATCTCAGTTGGCAGTGCACTGTGTATGCTATGTTACTAATGACTTAAATTTATCTCAAAGAAAAGATATTTCATGGAAATTATAAAATCTGAAAATTAAATTATTAGGGACCAGTTGGACTGTAATAATACATTTTCTGTTTTAACAGGACAATTTACAGACTCTGAGGCTATATTGATACTAGCAAACTAAACAGTACCAGAGAATACTCCCCCAAAACTGAAACTAAACCATCTGTAAAGTTAAATGGTAAGAATGGTCACTGGCATTGTCTTGGCCTGGGCCAACTAGCGTTCTCCTAAACAGCTCCTCAGCACAGCTGAGAGGCTATCATGGGTCCACGACTGTTCCCAAGACTCACTTTGCATGGGGACTTCTGATTTTCAAAAGTAAAAGAAGGTAATAATATTTTCTCATGCACATGTCATTTAGTGGTGTAAACAAAGCCTGAGTTTTCTGGAGACCATTTTATCTGAAGGTCAGCCTAACCAAAGCTATTTAGCTAAGTTATATGGATAAACCGTATCTATAATTTTAATGAACAATGACCAGTCATTTCTGGACCTGGACACAGTATGCCATTAAGAAGGAAATACAGCAACTTTATGTTTCCTTTATATGCACTCTCTGTGACAATAACTGTTTGACAAAAGCCAGAGGGCACTCAGCCAGAGACTCCATTGTGGAAGGAAAACCATTCGGATCCAATGAAGAGAAAAACAAGATGCTTTGACCACCACTTATTGAAACAATAACATGATCATCATCAATCAAAATAGAGCTGGGTAGCAGAGAAGACATTGCTACAGTCTTAGTACATCTAACAACACTGGTCATTAAGCCCCTACCTTACTTACCAAAGTGAGTTGCTTTCTAAATAGTTTAGAGATCAACAGCAAGTAGAATTACTGAATAAAATGACGTGAGGGGTCTTAACCAGCTCCCTAACTCTGCTGTGCACATATTTGATGTGAGTGTGCAAAGTTAGAAGATGAATGGGAGCGCTTCAATCTGCAAGGCTGCACTCACTGTGAACTCTGACTGCAAAATTGGAGCCTAATGCAAGAAAACAAAATAGGCTCATTCTTTGAGGACTAAACAACTCATTCTGCAGAAAAACTGATTCTCTAACTTCAGTGAATCTTATTGCAAGAGGAAGTGCTTTCCAATGTGAGCAAAAAACAGAGTCAAACCAAAGACAAGTCGGTAAAAGGGAGTTACTTGTTCAATTAAAAGTGCAAGCCCAAATGAAGCAGTACATGTCCGCAATGACTTTGCAAGCTAGGGGTGGGAGATATTCAACAACTCCTGGAATTTGGACCACAAGGAAACTGCCATTACAAATCACTTTTAACAAAAACCTTCTTATCTTAGCATGCAATTATTCATAAATATAATAGAAGGCCTTGGGCAGCATTTTATTTTAAGTATTTATTCTGAATTAAACAACAGGTTGGACTGGTCTAAGGGGTAGATCAAATGCCTGATGAACAGATAATGCAGGAATTACTATTTTGTGCTTCATCAAATGTTACTTTAAATATGTGCATACAAAAAATTTACATACAGAATTGTAACCCAAGTTTTGCCTAAAGCAGTGTCCTTCAAAACAATAAAAAAAATCATAACAATGTTATTGTTATATTGCTTTTGTTGCAGAAGCCTAATATAGGCTAAAAAAATTTCTGTCAATTGTATCTCAATTAAATTTTTGTGTGTGTGTGTGTGTGTGAAATCAGAGATAACATCCAGGCTACAGCAACAATCGAGAATTGCACTGAGTACACCTTGTAGTGGTACTTTTTAGCTACTCACACCAGTCTCACAGGCATATGAATGCATAATATGCTGTGTTTTAGAAGGGGATGGTGACTATGCAAGATGACCAAATTATTAGAAATAGAAAATCATCCCCTTATAGACTTACTGTTTGAACTTTGTGGAAATCCAGGTAAGGAGGATGGACCATTCATTCCAGGCAGAAGAACAGGAGGAAGGCCAGGGAGTCCTGGATAAGCTGCTGGCAAACTGATACCATGAAGAGAACTGCTGTCCATCATGCCTGGCTGCTGTACTGTTAATCCTAGCACATCAGTAGCCTTCTTTATGCGATCCAATTCTTGCTGTGCCATCAGCTGTCTAACCGTTGTAGGAGCTAAATAATCTTTCTCCCGATCTAGCTGACTTCCCACAGTTTCTCTCACCTTTGTAATATGTTGTTTGGAAAAGATATGATCTCTTATGGACAAACGCGCAGAATATTTCACACCACATAGAGAACATTCTGGCTTTGTCCCATCAGGTCCAGACTGATTTATCATGAATGGCTTTCCTATGTTAATTTTGAATTTCTTTTCTTTAGCCCGAGCATTCTGAAACCAGACCTGGACCACACGTTTGGGCAGGCCAATCTCATTCCCTAGCATTTCGCATTCCTTTTTTCATCCCTGCATTGTTGGAGTCCGGTAGTCACTAAAGCAAGCCTTGAGAACTTTAAGCTGAAGGTTACTCATTTGTGTTCGGAAACGTTTGTGGCCTGGCCGATCACTGTTTTTCGATTTAAAGGGATTGCTAGCTCCAAATGGATTAGGTGAGCTTGGATCAGCTATGCTTGAAGTTTCACTGCGGTCAGCATTATCATCAGCGTCATCAGTAATGTAGTAACTTTGGTCATGATCGCCATCTTTTTCACTGAAATGTATTGAGGGGCTTGTTAGGGAAAAGATAAACTTATCATCGGTATTCTCATTTGTAGGTGTAGTTGCAGCTTTTGGTAACGTGTCATTCACAAGTGGTTTTGGTTCTTTGGGAGGTGATGCAGGTTTTGCATCCCCTGAACTGCCAGTCGTGTTTTCCACTTCATTGTTCCCCTCATCCCCAGTTGTGGCATCACTAATTGCTGTATTAATTGATGAAGTCTCATCAAAGTCAGTCTTGTTTTGATCGTATCCAGAGTCAGCAGGAGGAGCATTCAAATTTTCTATATCCTCACTAGACTCTGCTTTAAAAGAAGAAGGACTTAAGAGGTTCTTTGGTGACATTTCTGCAGTTTTGCTAACAGGGGTTGATACAGTGGAGGCTAATTCATTTTCACTTGATAATTCAGTCTTTGCTAATGACAGTGATGGGTAATCAAAAAATATGTACTTTTGTGGACTTTCTCCTCCATCTTCAGTTGATATCAAAGGACTTGGAGGCAAACTATAACCAGCCTGTTTCCCTTCATTCCAATGTCGAGAGCGAATGTGACTTTCTAAAGCTGATTTGGCTTTAAACAGAGCTCGACAAAAAGGACATCTTTTATGGGACTGGGCTGGACCAACTGCACGGAATTGTCCCTTTCTTTCTCGGGCTCTTGTGTTCTGAAACCAAACTTGTACGACTCTCTTTTTCAGTCCCACTTCACGTGCAATGTGATCTAGCATCTTTCTGGTGGGGTTGGAATCTAGTAGGTACTTTTCATAGAGTATTTCCAGCTGCTCTGGAGTAATTGTAGTTCTTAAACGCTTATCACGATGTTGATCTTCTCCACTGTTTCCTCCCTCTTTCTCACTACAGTTATTGTCTTCTTTATCATCTAATTTTCGTTTCAGGGAACCAGAAACTGCAGCAGGGTGTGCCGTATGTGATGAGCCAGTTTGTGGTGGCATCTGAGCAAGAGAACTATTAAGCAACTGTCCAGTCATCAAAGGATTATTGGGGTCAAATATCATATAGGGCATATCCATTGGTCTTTCTAAAAATTGTGAGTGAAGAAATTGGTTTTGGGCTGCTAGGAAATGCATGTGCTGGTGCTCTTGCCAAAGTTCTAGAGTTGGAAAGGCAACTGTACACTGGTCGCATTGGTACTGTAATAACTGAGGAGGTAGACTGTTCTGTAGAGAAGTCATTGAAATTGGTAAAGGACTTGAAGGAACAGGTGTTGGTTGTGATGCAGAAGGAGGTCTCCCTACTATCTGTGATTGTTTTTGTTGCTGTGGTTGAGAAGCTGAGGGCTGAGGGTCAGAAGAGGTCACTGGAGTAGACTGCACTGGTTTGGCGCTTTGGGAAGTTGTATCAGTTTGCTTAGAGATGGTTTCATTTTGTTTTTGTTTCTCTGTGGGCTCTGGTTTAGGAGAAGCTTTCTCAGGTTCTGGTTTGGGTGATGGAATCAAAGGAGTGCTAGAACCAGAGCCAGAGCTTGCTGCTGTGACTGACAGGTTTTTTGATGAGTCAATTTGTCCAGAAACTGTGCAGTTCTTATACACTGTTTGATCAGAGGCATCCATAGAATCTTCAGTTTGGCTTTCATCTTGAGCATCATCATCTTCATCTTTATAACATTGTTTTTTCTGATGTGTAATCAAATCAAAGATCCTGGGAAAAACCACACTGCACTTTTTGCACTGATATTGCATGTTACTTGTTCGAATGTAACGCTCATTCGTCAGTTCCCTTTTCTCATTGTCTTTAGTTTCAGCTTGATTTTCATAACTTTTGCGAGCCTTTTGTCGTGCATTTTGGAACCATACAACAATAACTCGAGTAGGTAGGTTAAGTACAGTTGAAAGTTGTTCGATTTCATCATCCTTTGGATAAGCATTTGTGTCAAAGAAGTCTTGGAGGACACGAAGCTGGTAGTCAGTAAACCGAGTCCTAGATGATCTCTTGCTGAAAGATGCATCAGACTTGTAAGGTTCTACAGCTGAAGGTTGAGGATCTATTCTGATATCTTCCAATACTGTTATGGGAGGGTTGCTGAAGTTATATGGAGAATCTTTATTTCTCTGCCGTTCTTTAAACAGTGTATTACGAAACCAGTGCTTGATAACTTTCTGTGAAAGACCAGATTTCTCAGCCATTTCTTGGATCTGCTCTTCACTTGGAGAATTGTTAATATCAAAATAAGCCCGCAAGATTTTTAACTGGTCATCTGTGATTCTCGTACGTGGACGCTTGAACTGAGAGTGCCGCAGGAAGTTGGGATCTAATCCCAGCTGCTGCTGACAAAGCTGGGTAAGATCTGCAGATAAAGTATCCATTGGTGGCAACTGGAGGGCAAGCTGAGGAGGTAATGCAGGATGCTGCACTGGCTGCATCATAATTGGAGGGAAAAGAGGGAGATCAAGTGAGACGGGAAGCTGGACTTGAGGCGGGGCTGATGGTGGTGGTGGTGGAGGAGGAGGCGGTGGTGGTGGAGGAGGTGGCGGTGGTGGAGTGGGTGGTGGAGCTTGTAAAGGAGTGGGAGTTGTGTTTTGAACTTTTCCAGCCCCAGCTGAAGAAGGCTGGGAAGGAGTTGGAGGAGGAGGAGGTGGTGGTGGTGGAGGAGGCGGTGCTGGAGGCGGTGGTGTTTCTGGAGAAGATGGAGAAATTGGATAAAGCTTGTCATATGCCTCCCTGTACTGTCGGGCAAACTTTTCTAATGCTCCATATGGAAAAAACTGTCCATGCACATGTTCTTGATGACTCTTCAGAATAAGAATGTTGGAAAAGAGCTTACTGCAGGTTCCACATTCCAGTTTGTCTGTGTTTTCACCATCACCAGTCTTGCTTTTTTTCTGTACTTTTTGTCTGTTCTCATTGTATTGGATAACTAACTCAAACCCAAAGTTCTCCAACAAAGCCTTGGCTGCATTCCCCCTTGCTCCAGAAGCTATTCTGGGTGGTGGGATGGCTGGTTCTGAGGATTTTGGCTTCTTCATATCTTTGTTTTCTTTTAATCCTTCATTCTCATTAGTAAATTCTTGCTTTGGCTTCTCTTGTTTCTCAGAAATTTCTTCTGACTCCTTGTATGATGGCATATCCTTTATCAGCTGGCAGTCTGTACTTACTAAGGTATTTTGCTCTGCTTTCATCAGCTTGCTACTTTGCTGCTGCTGTTTTTGGGACTGAAGCTGGGGTTGGGTGGATTGATACTGTTGTGCTTGTTGCTGCAGTATCTGTAGCTGGGTTTGGCCCACATGGTGCTGAGTTTGTATCTGCTGCTTCAAATCTTCTAGCAGTGATCCCGTCATACCAGCCATTCCAGGCATACCGAATGTGGCAGAACCAGGCAAACCCAGATCTGGGCTTAAGCTGAATTCTGTCCCAGGTATATAGAATGGGAAAAGGAACTGAGGCTGTTGAAATTGCAGCAGTGCTTCTGGTGTCATTGGAAAGTGAGGCAAAAAAGCTGGGTTTAGAAACTGGGGCTGAAAGAACGCAGCTTGCTGTTGCAGTTCGTGCTGTAATTGCATCTGAAGTTGTGCTGGTGACTGGGGTGGGTGATGTGTAGGCTGAGCAGAAATTAATTCAGAAGCTTGCTTTTTATTTAATTCTTTGGCATCTAAATGTGTTTCTTTGCTGTTAACTGCTGGTAAACTCATAGATTCTAGCATTCCTTGGCTGGGGCTATTAACATTCCCTGCTACACTGTTTCCACTACCTATATTACCACTTGGTTCTAATTTTGCAGCCCTTGCCTTTGTCTGATGAAGCACAGATCTCATATGGATTTCCAATGTAGAACTTTGGCTATATGCAACATTACAAATGCTGCATTTGTAGGGTTTGTTGTCAGTGCTGCTGTTGGTTTCTTGAGGGACAGGACTTGATGCTTCCTGCAAAACCTTTTTGAGTTTATGTAGATGGGACACTGAGTTATAGTGGACCAAGAGAATGTTCTTTTGGGTGAAAGACTCTTTACACACTGTACACTTATATGGGCGAGATGGATCTAGAAATTTTTCCATAGTAAAATTTGGCCCTTTTCTAAAAGGTAAGGTCCGCTTTGGTTCTGAGCCCATATCATCTGGAATAGAGCTACTGTCACTTCCTACAGGACTTGCCTTACCTTCCTGGTCCATCTCATAATCTCTTTCTATTTCCTGTTCTAGTGCATGATCATCTTGTGCCATATTTTCACTTTCTGCCCAGAGTTCACCATTGACAGGTAAAGATGCACACAGCTGCTGAAGTTCAGCTTCGTTGAGTTCAGGGTGGCCTGCTTCCAAGTGTTTTTTTAAAGCCTGGAATGTACGGAAGCTACGTTGGCAAAGGCTACACATGGTAGCCGCCCGAATAGCATGATACTGGGAATGTATCTGAAGCTTCTGCATAGTCTTAAAAGCCAAGCTACAATGGTTACAACGGTACTTATAGACATGGCGGTCAGAAACAGAGAGCTGTTGTTTCTTCTGCTGTTCATTTAGCTGATCCGTCATTGAGTCGATGGTCTTTATATCTTTACTGCTGCTCTTATTCCACTCTGGTGTTTCAGTAGATTCCTTAGGTGGCTTCTGTTCCTCAGTCTTAATTTCCATTCCAGTTTTTGATTCATCGATCCCAGGGGTACTTTTCTCATCCACAGGACTTTCACCTAGTTTAAGAAAGTTAAGTGTCTTTTATACAAATAGAAGAGAATAGCACATCACATAGCACAATCACAGCACAATGTTTTTTTAATCAGAAATCAAGAGAGGCACCCGGTATGCCACGTGTTGGCCTAGCAAAGTATAGCAACCCATCCTTGCCCCAGAGAATAAAGCAGACAGGACCCTAACAGCAGGTTAAAAAAAAATAATTATAAAATCCAAACATGATGATCAGAATGGCAGTGGCAGCTGGTCTGGGAGTGGCACAGGGCTTCTCTTTGTCATAAGCTAGCAGTTTATCGGTACAATGGGAGCACCAAACGTGAAACAGGAACAAAACAGTAAGAAAGTAGGAGGAATTAGAAATGGGGTCAATAGGTAGGACAGCTGATTAGAAAGGAGGAGGAAAGTGGTCTGAGGAGAGAGGGAGGAGCATGCTGTGAGAGGTAGCAAAGTAGCCTCCCAGAACATAAGACAGCAAGCATCCAAGATAAGAAACCTGCCATTGGAAAGGCAGGCAGTATCATTTGCCTAACTTTCCCCACTGATGTTGGTGAAGGCGCCACTATCTTTTAGGGCTGGGTTTTATCTCCTGGTTAAACAAGGAGGGTCTTACCTTCAAAGTGACTAGGCCACTACCACAAGCAACATACACGTGGCATACACATGCATCCTAGTAGCTCTGTATGGGTGCAGTCAGGCAAATTCAGGCCCCTTGTTATTTTTCTCTTTTTATCTCGGTGGTTATATGCAAGCCAAAAAAAGGATTCACTTTACTGCGAAAGAAACAAGCGTTTTCTAAATTTCTAAATTGCCTACACCTAGCTTTTACATGTCTGGGCTTTTTCTTGCATACCTGGATATTTCACAGATCCCTCAGCTGTAATGGTTGCAGGTGTGTCACGTTCAGATTTCTCTGAAGCAGCTGCTGGCAATAGCATACTATTGGGCATCATGACATCTGGTACAGGAACCTTTGAAAACCAAGAACAGTTTTATTACAGGAAAAGTCACACTTTAATACTATACAACAGTAAGAAATTATAATTCAAAGGAGCCACCGTATCTGGATAAAAGACTGACAGTACTAAACCAGTCCTTGATAATGGTTTCTGACAGACCACAAATCCATACCATTGGGTGGAGAATCAACTCAAAATAATCCACAATAAGGTGATGCTATATAACTACATACACACAATATTTCATTCATCTCAACCCCTCTGTATTGTGCTGAGTCATTATTTTCCACAAAAAAAAATATTATTTTGACATGGTTTGTGCAATTTTACACTGAAGAACATTTTCTTGGTGAGGTTGGAATGGGATTTGGCCTCCAAATAGAGTTTGCTGGATATTGCATCCATCCCAATCACGGAGAAGCCAGTTCAAGTCCCTACCTGATTCAGGGTAGGTCTTGAAATAGATATTCTGTATCCTAAAGAACTGACCTAACTGGATTGCTGCCTACCTATTCTTGGACTTGCCATTCTGTTTCATACTCACACATTTTATTCACAAAAAACCTAAAGGGTCTTTTATGCAGAGGCAGAAAGTAAGAAACAGGACATACTGTACAGTAAGATTATCGTGTTCTCCAGTCAGCACCACTTTTGATATTTTACAGTGAATTTTATGTAATATAATGCAAGTACAGCGCAGCTATACACAGGAGTCCTTCTACATTTGGGAACTACATTCTGCAGGGAACTCCTGTTATTTTACAAACACTAGTCACAATACCTCTGAAACTGGATATTATTAGACCTAATTTACAGTTGTGCACTTAGAAACATTGACAGCCTTGATTTTTCCGAAGTTCATCTCAATGAGGAACTGCAGGTTTTCAGTATCTTTAAAATCCACCTTTAGTTGTTTTCCCAAGGGATGTTAGTCACTGTATGAGTTGGCAACAAAACCTAGGAGTCCTGACCCATTCCCCTCCTCGGGCTACCTGAATACTGTATCACAACAAATACATTGCCCAGAGGCCCGAGTACATTTCTGTAGCACATGCATCAGTATTTGGAACACTTACTGTCATGAGCAGTTTCTCCACACAGTCAGGGGACACACTGTGCAAATGCGTCAAATGAAGCTGGAGATGCATTTTGTTGCTGAGGACATCCTGGCAGAGCGGGCAGCAGATAACAGGTTGCATTGAATGCTGTGACAGGACATGCATCTGGATACGATTTGGGTCCCTACTATTGTAGTTACAATAAGGACATTGATAGAACTGAAAAAAATCAAATTAAGATGCAGGCTATTAGTCAGTGTTCTTTTTATAACTTGCTGATACTGCTGTTTTAACAGCATATCATCTCTGTTTCATTCTTGAGTTATTTGAAAGAGTTCTAGAATGCAATTAAATTGTTAAATTTTCCTTTACCTGCTCATGACAAAATTTATTGTCCTCTGGAGGCTTTGATTTTTTAGCTACACCATCCTCTTCTTTTGCCAGAAGAAGCTGTTGTGCCCCTACCACAGTGTTCACTTTTGGTTCCTTCTCTGGTGTGACTATTCCTGTTCCGAAAACATAATTTTTAAGAACATATTTTAATCTTGAAAATATCCTGGTTTACAAAGGCTGTGATTCCAAAGGTTTGTATTGTCTTCAAGGGTCTTTTATTTAAGTTCTGAGAAAAAATATAGTTGACTAAAACTCTAGTAAGGACAAAGGTGAAAATACCCTTTTATCCTTGATGTAGACTTTATAAATACATTTAAAAATGGACTCTTCTCTATTGTTTAGGTAACCTTAGGCTACCTTTAAAGATTAATCAATAACGTGCTTTGTTTAGCAGCTCAGTGTGAATTTGTGTATTATATTAAAACATATCAGCTTTTGCTTAAAATCTTGTTTTCCAAAATAATTAATTTGCTGCTGTTTAATTACCCTCTCTCTTTTCTAAACTGTCTGAGCAATATGATTATTGTGCTGTTTTGATAACTCTTGCCTGGTTACAATTCTGAAGCTAAATATAGTGAGGCTTTCAAAGCAATACTGTAGAGAATAGGATTTCAGAGTTAACTTGATATTAATTATATACAAAGATCAGTCATTTGGGATTGCCTTAGATGTTTACACTGTGAATTTTTATAGTCTGGCATTTGTGATCAAAACCAGAATATAATTGTTTTCTATAGATAGTTCTACTATTAAGTATTAAATACTATATTTAATATTATGCCTGAACTAGCTGTGTAATGTGGCCCAGTCTTGCACACATCAAAGAAAAGAGTGCAATTCTAATTTCCCAGTCCATCAGAAAATTCTTTCCAGCGTCAATTTGCCAGATAATCTCTTCTGCTAGACTGGATATTACAAGAGCATTGGGTAGGCATGTCACATACATCTCACGACAAACACAAAACCTCATTTACCAACCATTCCAATCTCATCATAGTGCGGCATCATCTGACCTTTTTTCTGCTGTTTATTATGAGTATTTCTAATTTTAACTTTCAATTTTCACCATCTTCCAGTCAATTTGCAACTAAATTATTTCCAGGGTGAGGACACTATCACTGGACACTGGGTGCAAATACATCTTGAAATGCAATGAAGCTAAACCATTGATTGCTATCAGACCCAACGTAAATATATAGTCCAGGGGTAATCTGATTGTATGCTGTGCATGAAGATTTATCTTGATTTTTTTCAATCCACATAAGGTTCATATAAATGAACAAATTGCACCTCATTGCACAATAACCTAGGATTAATTTTAAAAAACGGTTATGGATGTTTTGGCAACAAAGTAAACATGGATAAAGGAAATACTTGTATTTTTCTGTAGACAAAACCAAAAAAATTTTATTATGATTATTTTCATGTAGACTTTGTCCAATATTTCATATTACAAGAGCAACATTGAAGAGAAGTAAAATAAGAAAAGAGTTTTCAAGGTAGATACCAAATCCTTATGGTACAATAATAAACAATTGAAAATGTTTTCAGGGACATTTTCTGAAAGGCATATTTCTAAAAAAACAGAAACATATTTTATGACCTATACATTAATAGTGATTTCCCCACACACTGTTTTTCATTCCTAAGTTGCTAATCATTTCTTTTGGTGTAATTTAGACCAGTAATTTTTGAATGTTCTTGCTCAAATTAAAGTTTATTCCTGCCATATTTCCGTACTTTTAATGACCAATTTGTCAACATCGGTTTAATATCCAAACAAGCCACTTTCAGAAGCCCCATGGAATTTTTACACTCTCAGGAAGTGATCCTGGAGGCCTCCTTTAGACTGCTCAGTCAGTGCTGTGCTGACAGCCTGAAGGACTAGCAATGCTTAAAGGCAAAATCTACATGATGCAATCACATAAGGCACCATTTTATTACTCACTTTGGTTTATGATAATACAGTACTCCCTTCCCAATATGTATTTACTTGGCAATACACTGTTATTATTTAAATGTCTTAACTGTGAGAATTATGGGAAGTAAAAAAGCGACGTACTGTATTAACAGAGAAAGGTTGCTTCTCAGGTTTTAGAAGGATAGGTTCAAATTATTAACCTCTCTTCATTTCCAACTATCAAAAACATCTAACAGTTGACTACTGTTTCTTACCTCTATCATATGTCACTCTTAAAATGTCCCTTTTTAAATACAAATGGGCCAGAATCCCAGCTGGTGTAAACGGACACTGTTACACAGGAAGTTGAATTCAGAAACCAAAATAAAACAATTCTGCCTTCTCTTCCCCTCACCATACTAGATTGTTCTCAACAGGTTGTTACAGAAATTAGGATTCAAATTATGCTCCAAAATTCACTTGTGAAAATGCATTTAACTGTGTTTTGGCAATGGTATTTAACTGCTAGTGAAATTTAGCTTGGGGTGCACTCTATGGGCGCCTGGGCACACACAAGCTTAATACTACAATCACCTTCCACCACAGGATGGAATAACTTAATTACTTCAAAGGGCCCATAATAATCATGAAACACATAGTTCTTATTTCTATAAAAACAAGGGTGTTTTTTTGGTTAAATTTTCTTTTGCAGTTAATATAATAAAACCATGGAGATATAAAACACTGTGCTGGGGTCAATAAATGCATAACAAAGCACAGCTCTTTACTGTGTTTGCTATGATATTTATATAAACTGTCAAAATTTACAGAGGCTTTGTTGTTTTTGTTGTTGTTTCTCTGGATTCATTCAACCTCAAGCACTGTTACTTCTTAAGCAACTGAAGTTACATCTGGCCTACAGCAAAGTAACTGAATCCGTGCCTTACAGTGAGCTTTGCAAAAAAATAGGGGAGTTGATTCTTCCTTCTGGCACGGGGACACCACTTGCTCCTGCACACAGTGAGGACCGAACCCCCCAAGCCAGAGTCTCCGTGCCGAAAGCAAAGATCAGCTCCTTAGGCGAGCAAAAGGCTCAGCTAGTCCAGCTCAGTGCCTTGTCCTGCCATATCAACTTTCTGCTTTCCATGTTGAATTCACTGTTTTAAGGAGCTTCCTGTAGAGAGGCTGAACAATGTTACAGCCTTATAGGAAGGGTATTGAAGGAGGAGGGAGAGAGGAGTGAAAGTATTATGGTCCTGAACATGCCGGGTGGCACTGTTTTCGTAGCTGGATATTCTACTGGCATGCTATTCATACTAAGCAGATGTAGGAAAAGACTAAATACAGTTGTTATCCACATTTTAAAGGCACACTTTTTATTCTTGAGATACGTTCGTTGGGTTTTTTTCTAATTGTGGAACACAACTGTAATTCATTTTCTAATATATAAAATATTCAGCATTATTTTAGATTCATAATGTAATTTCAATACATTTAGCTCAAAAACTAAGTTTAATTATAAATAAGTGCCCTGAAATAGACTAGTCAATTGTTGCCTGTCAGTTACAGAATTATTTAACTTGTGTAGTATTGCTAATATAAAAATGACATAATTCACTCCAATTCAGATGCCATCACCTTTGATGCCAACACTTTTGAAACCCCAAAATAAAAATAAAAATATTTGTGTGACTAACAAGAAGGAGAAAGTTAATAAAATACACATGCTAACGAAAAAAAAATACTGATTAAAAAGTATGAAAAAAAGCCATAATCGAAATACCATTTTCTTATTTATGAATCTATGCATTTGACAAAGATTGCATAATTTAAGACTTCTGACACATCAGATGATGTTATTCAGCCTCAAAATAATTCTAAAATTATAATTACTGGTATTCTTTCTAATTAGAGTAGAATGAAAGGATAATTTTCATTGCAATAACGAAGGTTAATTTCCATCCTTCCTCGTGTTTACTACCTTATTAAAAAGTGCTCCCCTTAGCCATGGCAGAGACATATTACATTTTCAATGCAAATGTATTAATCTGGATAAATTCCATATTAATTCTTGCACTGCATAGAGCTGTAATTTGGATTATAATTAATCTAAAGTGGCACTAGATTTAAATGACAATATAAATGAGGCATTAGTAGGCTTTTTTATTCTGAATGAATATTCAACAAACATAACTTGTATATTGCCAAGTTTCATTTTGAAAGCTCTACTCCTTGAGATAAGGTAAGCAATACAGCACAACAGCTTACATAAACATACTGTTACTAAATACTTGTTAATCCTTTCTCGTCTAATAGGTTCTATGCTAAAGAGGGGTCACACCACTTTCCTGTGTAACTTGTTAGTATTGTGATTAATTTATTGGTTTTCCTGAGATCTCTTTGGCAAGACTTGCAACACTCAATTCGTGAGAAAGCCTAAATTAACATTCAATTATACATAAGCAGTTATGCAGTCATTAGAAATACTCGTCAGCTGAGTGAAAATTAAGATGATGGTCTGAATGTTGTACATGCAGAATTAATTTAGATTAGGAAAATAAAAGTTTCTAAAAGATTTAGGATTTTACAGTACAAACTATTTTCAGCAAAGCACAAAGGCAATCATGTATTTCAGCCCTTGTTTTTATATGAATCTTACTGCAAAGTTATTTGTGTAATTGCTAGCACGGGAATGCAGAACAATTATGCTGGTTTTTTGTAGTGCACCCAGTAGGCATCTGGATATAGGTTTGTCCTAATTAAACTTGGCCCTTATGAGTGGCTAATCCTGCTGGAATTTTGAGAATTCCCCTTCAGTATTTTTTTTGTAGATTCCTTTTTTTTTTTTTTTTTTGCTGGAGCTTTAATACCGTATTCTTTCTTGAACAACTATAAATGGACTTGCCTAAGAAAAAGAGAGGGCTGATAAACTCCCTGAAGCAGTTCACAGTGTCCCCCAGGCAGAGGGTATGGTAAAAAAGGCAAGCTGCAGGCGGCTGTCCCCCATCTCCTGGTGAGTGTCCAGGACAGCCTCCCACAAGACTGCACAGGAGGACCGATGTTGGCCTGGGAGCATGGCTTTACTGCACTGCAGGCAGTTTTCACCAAGTCAGAGACCTGGCCAAGGGGGATGTATATTTTAAACCACAACACGGTTTATTGCTCAACATCATACTCATCATCATTGGCCTTTGTTCAGTCTCTTGAATTCAAAAAATATAGTGACTGAAGAGGAGCTGAGGTTTTAAACTGTGATGGGTACTGACCTTAACATGTCAACAAGCAAACGTAAAGGAAGCTTTAATCTTTAAGTCAGTCTTCTGAATTGATTCGGCACAGAGAGGACCATCTATAATATTTTTTTTAAATAAATCCAAAAATGTTTAATATGTAAAGAGCAAATTATGGGACAATTTGTGTGTGAAGAAACTCATACGTAAAATGATATTTTCTCTACAACTATGTGTCTTTACAAAGAATACAACCTCCTTTGTATGCTGCTGTCATTGGCATACAAGGAAAAGATATATGACTACCTGAAACTAATAGGCTTCAACCTGTTTCAGCACTTCTTCTGCTTCAGTGAATCCAACATAATGTAACTAGGTATAGCGTGCAGCAAAAGTAGCCAATGTAATATTCATTGTGACCATAGATTTCCATCTCATACATAAAAAGCATGGATGAAGTCACATATTTGCCAAATCAAACACAGAAAAAGCCTTGGGTATCTACACCAGATGCTGGCCCTGGGTTTGTTTGTGCACAAGTAAATGTCATGACATAGGGGTTTTGTTTTCAAAGACAGTAGCTTTCATTACTGGGCTTTGTCTATTCCAGGAGATCAAAATTACCCAACCCATAATCCGTTTTCAATGATATTTCCTCTTTCTTAGGCTGAATCATCTGTAAACTTTTTCACTGGATTTTGTGTATTTTTTTCAAAATGCCTCAAATAAATGCCCAGGAAGAGGCCAGATTCTTGGGAGTAGCTGATCAGAGAGCAAGAGCAAAAAATAATAATAACAAAAAACATTCTTTGGGTTAAAAGGGGAGCAAAACTGATTGAAGAAAAAATTCAAGTGGTACCTAATCCTATGCTTATGAAAAATTAATATGCCATCAGAGGAATCACAAGTACAGCTAAGATTAATGAAAGGCGCTTAAAAAATTACAAGCACACAAACTGATTTGATTAAAAAATAATCTCACTGGTCGTCCTGTAATATTCTTCAACTTATCCGCATCTATCCTGTCAGATGGTTATGATTAAAAATAGGTCAATGGGAGGCTACTGATAGAAATCACATGCAAAATGCACATGCAATGAATAGTAGTGGGAATGTCCAGACAGTTTAAAATGAAAGAGCATTTCATAATTTAAAAAAGGGGGGAAGACAAAATTCTAGCATCTTACCAGAGTCTTTATTAGATTTTTTGCCTTCACTATTGTCTCTCTCACTTGAGTCTTTATCATCAGCAACAGCCACTGATGTACTTTTAGCAGACCCTTGTGTATCTTCAGCTTGTTCTTCTGTGGATAAGCACAGAAAAGATCTTAGGAAAGAAACTCGGTGACCATTTCACAGCAGTAAAAAAAATATATCCTGTAATAAGAACAGCACTAAAAGAGGGTGGCAAAACAGGGGGAAGGAGGAGTGGAGGGAAGAAAAGGGAAAGAACAGGGCTTTAAAGAGGTTGGACATTAATTACAAATAATTTGCAATATTTCAAAATCTATCCAGAAATTCTGGCCATGTCTTTATCAGAGTACCCGCTTTCCACCAGTGTGACAGATTTAAAGCCCGTCATTTCATATTCTTCAGCTAGAAATGATTTGTGTTAAAATACACGTGCATGCATGGACACACACCCCCCACAGGTTGGAAGAAAAGCAAGCACATACAAAAATGCATCTTGGAGCCAAAAAAAAAAGAAAAAAAAGGGGGGGAGGATTCAAATATGAATCCTATTAGTGCAGCAGTATCCTGCTAATTGCAGTAAGTAAGTATTAGGTATTAGGTACTGTATTAAATATAAACCTCTGGCTTTGCAGGAGAAGTCTCAGATTTTGTCTCCAGGGGGAGCCATGCAGGATAAATGATGCAACTTGGTATATGGCTTCTGAGGAAGCAGCATTACCCACACCTCACTTACGTGTTCACACCAGCTAGATTACATGGAAATCTTCACAGTAACTCAAGCCCATTTAATTATTCGGTAAATCTTAGCTATGCTGCTACTGGTGGATTAATCTGTTTATGCAGTTAGCTTCTATGCTGGGGCTGTGTAGCACTAATCCGTGAAAGGCCCACTGTTCCTTTTCATCCTGTGATCATTTGTCTCTCACTGTGCTGATGTCACATTTTAATGAATTTTTAGCAATCTGAGTAATGCCAGATAACCAGACTTGCAACTCCCTACAGCACAGCATGCTGTTTTCATTGCAGCACACACAAAAAAAATAAAAATCATATTTCCCAGTTCAGGTAGGAATTATATAAATTAGGAGGTGAAGGTAAAATGGGATTCGAAGCACCAGGCCGCTCAATTTCATAAAATCTTTAATGACCATATAAATTAACCCTGGAAAGGCAAAAGGTCACAGACACACATTTGCATACACTCTTCTATTCACTTTTGATAAGCAGCACTTTTATGCAGGGAACATGATACAATTAACCCTTCAGGAACCATACAAAATGCAGCTACCGACAATTTAAGTGTCAAGCATTAACTGAAAATTACACACTGCATAAAATTTTCATTGTAAATGCTATAGTGATTGAAAGGGGAAATACTGGCCCTCTTCGCACCCCATGTTTTATTAATAACATTCTGACAGCCGAATGAAATATCCTCTGTCATATGTAGCAGCTGAGCACAAAAAAATTGCTGCTCAGTGCCTTACTTGCCAGCCATGCACTGAAACGGTATGCCTAGGCAAAGAGCCCTCAGATGGATGTGGTGAACCTATTCGATTCTTAACTCTCTGCAAAACCTTTTGTAAATCGAAAGAGAAAAACACAGCTGCAATTTTGGAAACCAAACCAAACCCCCCCAAAAAAAACCTCAACCACAGATCAGTGTGTTTTGCATTGACATTGAAATACAATAGGTTAGGACTAAGCATGCCTGTCCACTTTTTGGAACAATGCAGGAAGAAAGATGGTCCCCTCTTTTAAAAATAATTGCATATATAAAAAAAGAATTTCCATCAGAATAGAAACCCCCCTTGCACAGTTTCATCGCTCTCCCCCTGCGGCCCCACACCCCCTCCCGCGATGATAGCTAATCAAACATGGTCGGCATCCCTGCCACAGCTGGAAGCGGGGCTGTGTTTGTCAGGGTGGCGGGGGAGCACGGTTCGGGATGCTGCGAGCCTGTGATCACGCCTGGCTCGGGCTGTGTTAATGCCGAGCGCGCACACATGAGTCTTGTATTCAGTGTCAGGCCCTGTGGCCTCCCGGAGCCGATGGCAATCCCTTTTCAACTCATCCTTGGGAACGGACTCATTGCTTCTTTTACTAGATTTACTGGTCCAATCCCCCTGGGCTGGAAAATGAAGTGTCAAAGTGCTACTGAGTGTCCTTATCTTGAGGGGACATAAAATTGTAAGGGCTATCGTGGCACACATTAATAAAACATTGTGTGTGTGTCAGGCAAAGAGAAAGAAAATTATGAAGGTACTAAAAGAAAAGCTACAGTATCATCTGGGTCTCATCAGACAATTTTTGCAGGGTGCTCTCCTGTTTTTCTGGTATGTGTTTTAAGTGTGAGAGAAATTCCCAGACATGTTCCCTATACATCATCGTGGTGTCTGACCTCAGCCTGACCCTGGCAACAGTTTGAGAAATCTGAATGTGAACAAAGACTCTGTGTCAGCAGCAGGGAGAGATTGCGGGATAGACTTTCCCCATCAACTTAATCGCAAACAGCAGTTCTGAGGCCATAACTTTACAGGGCTCCACCAAGCCACAAACATATAACCTTTAGAGGTGAAACTGCCTCCCGCTCCCCACCCCCCCTTCTGTGATTTTTCTCAGTCTTGTGGTGCTCCCTTTGATGTAGCAAGGCAATTAGCTCTAATGTTCAAGTACTGCAGACCTGTTTTATGGTTTGGAAGGTGAGAGCTGTTTATTACAGGTAGGCTCCTGGGGGCCATAAAGGCTTTGCAAATTTTTAATCATGCAAAAAACTAATCAAAATGTAACTTATACACACCATAAAAATTAATATCATTATTATGCATGGTATAAATTGCCTGCCTTGCCTTTCAATGGCAGTCACTTCTAGAAAATACATTTGGCATTCATTTCAGAAATATGTATGGCATTCACTTAAGAAATAAATTTCATAGACAGAAATGATAATACAACTTCTCCTATTTTCCTTCAAAGTTACAGAAAGGCTGTTTAAGATTCACACTGTCACGACATTTATCAAAGGGACAAGATGTAAATACAACAGCTCTAGCTTAAAAGCAGTTAGCAAATTACAAAAAGAAAAAAATCCCTAAGACCATTCATTAGAACAGATACTGAGGATTTGTAACAAAGTGTGCTACCAAAGACACTACATACCTATGCCAAGACGCTACAAACATCTCTTTTTAGTAACATTTTTGTTCTCACTTCATATGCTAACCAACAAGGACACTATTCTGTTATTAAAATGTGATGGACCCTGCTCAAAGACACAAAATTATGAATTATTATGTACCAAAAAAAATAAGAGTATGATGGCACTGCAGATTCCAGAACAAGTCCTGATGGTCTGTTTTAAATTTGCAAAGGTCCTGCCTATATACATTTACAAATGTCATCTTTGAAAATGAATAGAACACCGGATTCAAATGTACTTTAATGGCTTTAATAACACTTACTATTGCAATATGATATTTTATTCACTCCTGGTTTTATTTTGTCCAAATGTTGAAATTTTCTTTTTTATGTTAGATCTCTTGAGTTTAGCCATTATCAAACCTTTTCCTCACAACTAACTTAGTATTACACACAAAAATGAAGTTAGCAGTGTGCACTAAAACTGTAAAACAGGAAAACAGGAAAGTTATTCTTCAGAGGTAATGTTAATCAGCTTATATTATATAACATATATTCTACATCCTATACTTTAGTATGTTAATCTACACTCTTGGGCCACAGTTCTATATCAATTTTATGTAGGAAGACCTTTATGACCTTCCCCAGCCCAATGAAGCCAAGATCTGTGATTATTTCAATTATTTCAATTGCAAAATCCAGGCCTCAGCCAAAGTCGAACAGCAGATACCAGCAGCACAATTAGATGCATATTCACAACCAGATTAGAAAGACCTGACTTACTGAAATGGAAACAAAGGAAAAAATGCATCCACCATAGCCAAGGAAAGGTATAGAAAAACAAACATTTTTTGAAATAAAATACTGAATAGTTAAAGCAAGACATGGCCAAGTTGAAACAATCTTCTTTATTTTAAATGCTTTGTCATAATCAAGGGGGTATACCAGCCACCTTTCCCTGTTTTATCAGAGAAGCTTCTCTATTGATGAGCAGCATTGGGAATCTGTCTTCAAGTCTATTTAAGAAACGCATAATTTTCAAGTGCTGATTTTGGATGAGATTTTTTTTTTACATCACCAATATATCAATCAACAGCCAGTAGTTCCTGTCTGGGTCCTGGATTTAGTTGGTGGTGGTGGTGGTGGTATCCCTTTTGCCCTCTTCAAATTGCAAGTAATTTCCTAAATAAGGATGATCTGCTAATTGTGGGTGAGTAATTGTGGTTATGAGAGAGAAAGCAAGATTAAGCAAGTGTTTGTGGCTGAGGCCCAGATGGATGGGGACAGAATAAATCAATCTGTGAAAGTAGCAAGTAAATAAATATGAAATGAGAGAGAGATTTAAAAAACAATTGGGGTTTGTTATTCAATATGTTCAACAAATAGCTGAACCAAAGGTACCTGTAAGTGTCCAGTACAGGTGTATTCAAGGTTCAACTGGTAGAGTGAATGGCTTATTGAGATAGTGTCAGGATGAGAAGGTAACCACTAGGAAAGGTTAATCGAAGGGTGGATTGGAGGGATGGACAGAAAAAAGATAATGTAGGGAGAGGAGGAACAACTAACAGAAGAAAACAAAGAAAAACACACAATATACAAGAGAAGAAAAAATTAACTAAAAGCAGGGCTTGTGGATTTACTTCTGGATTATTCTAGTTACACTACTCAGTTGATAAATTCTCCCTGACTTCTGGACTGCCATTTATTGACCCAAATATTCCAGAAAGTATTTGTTCTACTTTCTGGCTGGTCTTGCAGAGCATGACTGAGGAACAAGATGCCTCACTCACTCACGATCTTGACTGCATGCTCTAGTGGTCATATTTCATCTTCAAATAGGATTTCTAATTTCTCATTTAGGGACTCGAGGGGAATAACGGCACCAGCCCGTTAATAACTGTTTCTAATCACTGTGTTATATTTAAAACTATAGTTGTTAGAAGGCTGAACTTCCCACAAACAAGCCCATAAT